GAGGAAGGGGAGGTGCAGGGGAGGTTGGCGTGGGGATAGGAGCTGGGAGGGCTGGTGGACGCTGGTGGACCCCAAAGCCTCCTTCCGGGATCCCCGCACCCTGTCACGTGGGTCCTGCAGACACGCATCCTGTGAGGTGGCCTCTGTGACGTGCAGGCTGCTGACGTGTGTCCCGGTCTCCTCACCTATAGGTTCAAGTTCCTGCAGGAGATGATGCTCCTCTGGGCCTTTCTCCTTGTCATCTGGTTGCCTCAGGTCATGCTGGGAGGATATTGTAAGGATCGGTTCCTCTCCCTGTCTTCCCGGCGATAAGACTTTACTGTTATCCAGGGTCAGAGAAAGGGTCTGGGTGGGATTCCGTCACCTCAGGCAGCCGGGACCCCCGATGTCAGTGCAGTTGGTGGGCACAGGGTGGGTCTGGAAGGGTCCCCGAGCTAGGTGAGGGTCGGGAGGGCGTTTCTAGCTTGGCCCTCCCTCACCTGGGAAGGGCAGCGTTGGAGAGTCCAGGGAAGTAAGGGGGGGCGCTGGCCTTTTCTGACTGCCAGGCTCTCTTGGGCACAGGGGCCGTCATCTGCGGGGCAGAGGGTCCCCTCAGCTGGCTCCCTGGCGGTGCTCGCCCGCGTCTGTCTCTGGGAACAGGAACAAGTCCCGCGTGTACCCGGTCTCTGCCCGGAAGCTACCCTGGCCAGAGCGGAGCCCGTTGAGGGCCGGGCGGTGGAGGCCTCCAGAAGTCCTTCAAAGCAGGGGGAGGGCACAGCCAAGGGTAACGGTGGACGGTGCCCGGGGCACTGGAGCCAGATGCTGCTTACTGTTTCCTCGGGGACCTATAATCTGAAATGCTACGATTGTTGGACCATCAACAATTTTAAGTGTCCACAAATTACGTTGTGTCCGACAGACCTCAGGCGCTGTATGACCATGTCTGTTCGTAAGTACCTGTTTGTCTTCCTTGCGCGTTGTGAATTAGGCACCCCACCTGAGCACTTTCAGGGAGCTGTCTGATCTGCTCTGTCTTGGACCCAGCCCCGTGGCCCTTGGCCTGCTCTGTCCCCATCCTGAGAGCCCACCCCAGCCTCTAGGCTCAGCCCCAGGAGAGGCCGGTGTGCACCATCCTGGAGAGCCAGGCACCCCGCAAGGTGGGGCTGTCAGGGTCCACGTGCACCAGGGGGGGTTGCCAGACCCTAGGCGTCCGCTCCGTGTCAGTCCTTGGTGGCGGTGCTGGCGCCCCCGAGTCGCCCGGGCGGTCCCTCGTTGCCCACTTGATTCAGGCTGGTGGGGGGAGGGCTTCCAGCTAAGTAGGCCCGAAAAGCGGGCATCCTGCGGACTTCTCAGGACAAGGACTACTGCACACGGAGGGCAAGGCCAAGTGTGGGCTCAGGGCAGAGCGTGACCTTTCGGAGTGCTCTTGGCTCTTACTCAGAGGCTCAGGTGCCCTGAGAAAGGCGTCCCGCTCGCCAGGGCCCTAAGCTGAAGCACAGGGTCGGCCAGAGGCCAGTGACCATTCGATGAGTCTGGGAGGCTGCAGCCAGTGCAGGGCCTGGCAGGGAGGCAGTGGCCACGTGTGGGGCCCTGCCGGGGGCCTGTCCTCTGGCCCCTGGCCTTCCCCAGTGTCTCTTTGCACCTTAACGTGCCATTCTGTGTTCCAAGCTCCCCGCAACACGGTCTTCTTTCTGCCTCCTCTCGGTGGTACCAGCTGGCCTACCCTGTGGGCATCTGGGGCTTTGGAACTCAGGAAGGAGCTGGAATCTGTCCCGGGTTCCTGCAGCGGGCACCTGTTGTGTGCAGGTCTCGGCCTATCGACGTGCCACGATATGGCGGGACCGGCCCTTGTGGTTCTTGTGATGACTGAGGACGCCCTCGGCGCGGCCGTCAGGAACTGGGAACCCACAGGGCTGTGGCTCACGAGTCCTGGAGCTTCCAAGGCACACGGCCAAGTCGTGGTGGGACGGGAGATGCACGGGCTGGGAGTGTGCCTTTTCTGGGCTCGAGGGGGGCATCTGGGGTTTCCCGGGCCCGTCTTCATTGGTGAGTTTACAACACGAGGGCAGGACTCTAAAACGCGAGAAGAAGAGAAAACAGAGACCTGTGGTCAGCTCTGGAGCCCCACCAAGAGCCCTGGAACGAAGGAGCCTCGGGCGGTAGCGGTGCGGGGGTGCGAGCTCTGTATCTAGTCCAGCGGTTGGTGGTGTTTCCCCAGAGAGCCGTCCTTGAGGTGGGTGCCTTGGCAGTCAAAGCTCCTCAGGCACTTGCACCACAGGAGGAACAGAAGCCACCTTCAGAGCTCCGCTGCTGCCCCTCTGGGAGACCCCGGTGGGTGGCGGGTTGCCGCGCTGGGAAGGCTGCTTCTGAAGGGGGCGTTGGGCTCTGTTTCCCAGGCTCTCACCCTGTGTAGCTCTGGGCTATACTTGGCCCTGGGAGAGCCCTCGTGAGGTCTGCAGGGCTGAGATGAAGCAGATGGTTGGTCTGGAAGGTCGTGATGGTTCTGCGGTGATGGACGCCAGGGGACCCCATCCAGCATCTCCACACTTCATCCTGCTTCACATCCATCCCATCAGCCCTGTTGCCCACGAGCAGTTCCTGAGAAGGTAGCAGTTGCGTGGCCGCTGGCCTGCACAGGCGACAGGTGTGGGGGTGAACACCTCACACATCTTCACGAGAGTCTCTTGTGCGTGGGCCGAGACGGGGGGCGGGGGCAGAGAAGCATGGCGTCCGTATTTTCCTCCCAACTGGGCTTTTCCCCCCCGGCCCCGCCCCGCCTCAGCGTCAAATGGACCTGGTTTTGGACTGTCCCTCTGATCGCCAGGCGGCACGGATAAGCAGATAAGCCTCTAAGAGATGGTCGACATCTTTGGTCATTAGGGAAATTAAAATTGAAAACACGATTAGGCATCTCTAATCAGAGTGACCGAAGTCAAAAACAGTGGCCACACCAAAGGCTGGCCAGGACGGTAAAGAAACCAGATTTTTGTATGTGGCCAGTGACAGTGAAAAATGGGACCACAAATTATGGGGAACACGGTCCGGTTTCTTAAAAACACCATGCAGCTACTGTCGATACCCGAATTGCATTTCTGGGGGTTTTCCCAGAAGAGTTGAAACTTCGCCTGTGCGAAACCATGCGTGGATGTTTGTCCCAGAGTGGTTTGTAGCACCTCGATCCCCGAAGCAACCCAGACATCCTGGAGCACCTGAACGGTAAAGACACCGTGGTGAGTCCACTGTGGGCGTTACTCGGCAGTAAAGCAGGGCAGCTACCGCTCCGTTATCCTGAATGAGTGTCCTGGGAAACACGGGGAACGAGAAAGGGCCAGCTCCAGAGGTGACTGTCCATGTTTCCTCTTACAGACATCCTAGAAATGACCAACTTCTAGATGCGGACCCCGGAATCGTTTTGTGGGAATCAATGGCCAGGCATTTGTGTGGGAAAGGGATGGGTGTGTCCGTATGAGGGATGACTGTGGTGTAAGCCTGGTGTTCCCCGTCACCGCTTTGAGACCGGTGCCCTTGTCGCGCTGCTGCACTGCTGTCTGGCCACGAGGTACCGTTGCAAGTGACTGAGTCCAAGTGCACGGAAGCTTTCGTATTTCCTGAAAACGTTTTGAAGATACAATTATCGGCAGTAAGACACTGAACATCAGAAAAGCAATTTAAGATCTAACGGATCATTAATGACACTAATATTAAAATGGATACAAGTAGGAACCCGTGACTTTCAGAACAAACTAAATTCATATGTTTTGCTTCATAGAGGCATGCTTTGAAATGAGAACATAAAAACTCTGAGAATAAAATACAGAACATGGGGGGCGCCTGGGTGGCGCAGTCGGTTAAGCGTCCGACTTCAGCCAGGTCACGATCTTGTGGTCTGTGAGTTCGAGCCCCGCGTCAGGCTCTGGGCTGATGGCTCGGAGCCTGGAGCCTGTTTCCGATTCTGTGTCTCCCTCTCTCTCTGCCCCTCCCCTGTTCATGCTCTGTCTCTCTCTGTCCCAAAAATAAATAAAAACGTTGAGAAAGAAAAAAAAAATTAAAAAAAAAATAAAATAAAATAAAATAAATAAAATACAGAACATGGTATACAACGTAAATACCGACCCCAAGCTCTTAAGCACGCACTGTGGCAAAGCTAACGTGAACTCAAGGGCGTTGCTTGTGTGAAGAGCAGAACAGCACTGGATGGAGATGAAAGGGTGAGACACCCGGGAAGACACCAGCATCGAGGTGCACACACGCCCGATGATGCAGGAGGAAGAGCCACACTGAAAAATGCTCCCCAGAGCTTAGGAACTGTAGGTAGGGGCATGGTCACAGTGTTGTCGTTAACATACTTCTGCCCATGGCTTCCAGGTGCTAGAGCAAGGGCCCCAAACTTACCAGAGCCATTCAGCTGGGGTGGACCAACTCTTTCTATAAAGGATCAGAAGCAACCCTGCTTACTAGTAGGCCACCTAGACTCGTAGCAAGTGCCCCGCACTGCCTGTGTGGGGGTAGGAGAAACCATGGAGCGTGGGGAAACAGAGTGATCATTCCTATGTCCCAACAGATCTTTACCCATAGACACAGCTGGTGGACTGGGGCTGTCCCGCGGGCTCTTGTTTGCCACCCTCTGCTACAGAAGGTCTGAAGGACGCTGGTTACGAAGGAGGAATACTCATGATGTGTGACAGCAGAGCTACCCATGACCCAATACACATTTTTTACAAGGTCGCTAATGACGTTTGTGATACTGAGTTCATGCCAGGACCTAATGCAAGCATCTGCACGTGTCAAAGGAAGGCATTTCTGCAGAGTTCCTTCTCTGTTATGGTGGACTTAAGCTAGAAATCGTGACTCCAAAGAGAACTGGGGAAACCTCCACTCCTTATAATCACACAGAGCAGTTCTGAATAACCAAAGACCCAAAGAGAAGCCACATGGAATTAGGAAAGAAGAAGGACTCCATGATTCTAAAGCTAGGACGTGGGGAAAATGAGTGGAGTGCAGCGAAAGCAGAGTCGAGAGTGCAAATAGACACTCTCGGCCTCTCGAAGAAGAGAGAACGTGTGCCAAGGCCCCAAGCTTCCACTCAGGAAGACAGAAGAATAGGAAATCCACCCAAAGAAATGAGGTAGGGAATGTCAGGAAGACAGCAGAAATCCTTGTAATGGGAATACAAAAACCCAGAAAGAATCCCCACAAAGCCAACAGTTGGTTTTTGAAAGGATTCATAGTATGGGTAAAATGGGGTAGGGGAGCTCAAAGGCAGAAATGTAAAATTCACACTTTTGTTATCAGAAATGCAAAGGGGGGGGCATCCATCAGAGGCCACTTTTTTCTTTCCCTTGTAAAGAAAACAAGAAGCCACTATGATAGCCTTCCTGTGACACATTGGAGAGTCGTGATGAAATGAATCACACCTTGAAAAACACAGTTGAATTGGCTCTGACCCACAATGAGATTGTAAAGCTGAAGTGCCCTGAATCCTTTCTGGAAAACCTAGAAATGGAAAACCTGGAGAACCTGGAAATCCTTTCTGGAAAACCAACTAGAGATAGCGTCTCTGGCAAAGTCCACTAGCTTCGTAGGAGAAATCACTCTACCGTACACAAACTCTTCCAGATAATAAAGAGGATTTCTCCCCAACACATTCATGACGACAGTCTGACTCTAACACAAAGCCTAGGAAGGACATTGGAAGGATGGAAACCACAGACGAACCTCTCCTGTGACTAGACCTGCAGCGGTACTAGCCAGATCTGAACCAATAGAATCCTACTGTGGATAAGCTATACCACACCCAACGGAATGTTGTATCCTGCATGGCATCCTGGAACAGGAAAAGAACATTAAGGGGAAAAGAATGAAATCTGAATAAAGTGTGGGAAAATGTGCCATAGGATGGCAAATGATGAGAGACAAGAGGGGCCTGGGTGTAGGTGTTTAGAACACACAGACACACACACACAGACACATACACACACTGCAGTGTGGCTTACAATTGAAACCCACTAGTTCAGTTCACCATCTTAGCAAAGAAAATGGGAAACATCACAGCCACAGATGCTGAAAACTGATGAAATCCAGCAACCTTTCCGAATTAAACAAAAAAATTGAAATGGAAGACAAGAGGACATTTTCTGTCACAAGGAAAATACTGGAATACTTTTCCCTTGAGGTGAAAGTGGGGTCAGATGCGTCTTGTCACGACCTCCACTCCCATGAGGCAGAATTATGGGTGGCACAGGAATTACTAGGTCACTGGAAGAAATGAAACACACAGTGGCTGGGAAATAGGAAGCAAGCAGCTACTTCACCAAAGATGATGAACTTTGGACATAAGCAGTACCTTGGGCAATGGCCCCAAATACAAGGTCAGTACTCAAAAATCAAATTAAAAAACCCATGGTGTATTTATAAAACAACAATGAACATGTGGAAAATAAAATGTGCAAAAACACACATAGCATTTGAAAACCACCACATACCTGGAAACAAACGCAAGCAGATTTCTGCAAGACTTCCATATCGAAGCTGTGAAACAGGTGAAATGGAAGGACTTAAACCAACGGGTGAGCCAGGCTTCTGGGTGGAGCAACCCAGTAGAGGTAGGACAGCTGTTCTCCTCAAGTTCATCCTCAGATTCCATGAAATCCCAGTCAGAGTCTCACCAGGTTAGTGTGTGTGTGTGTTGGGTTGGGAGTGGGGGCAAGTTGATTCAAAATATTCAAATGTTTATGGAACTTTGGGGGCTAGGAATGTCCAAGGCAATCTCGTGGAAGAAGAGAGGAACAGAGAACTTGCACTCTTACGCAATATTCTTTCGTCTCGTCAATGCACATGGTCTAGTGTTGGTGTTGGGATTGAAAAATAGACCGACAGTAGAGAAAAGAGGTCTCAGAAAAAGCCACATGCTTTCTGACAACGTTGACCCAGAAGGTTGTAGGGAAAGACACTCGTCGGCACTCACCAGTAGTGGATGCAGGAAATCTTATACACATGATTTACACAACAGAAGCACTTTCAGATGCTTTCTAGATCTCCATGTAAATAGTAAAAGAACAAAACGTGGGCTTTATTTTTTTGGAAGGGAAATGTAGAAGAATGTATCCCTGGGATAATTAAGAATTTAAGACACCTGAACAATATAGTGCTGATCACAGATGAGGAAAAGCGGTAGTGGGATTACATAAAAATTCACAACTTCTGCCCCTGAGAGGATACTGATAAGTGTAAAGATGCCACAGATGAAGAGAAGGCCCTTGAAAACACTGTCTGCCCAAGGGCTTATATTCCGTATATGGAATGAACTTCTTCTACGAATCACTACTTGAACAAGCAGATCATCCAATAGAAATTGGAGCCAAAGGCTTGGAGGCTGTTTACCAGAAAATGATATCCAAGTGGGTACTGAATATAAGAAAAGTCATCCAACGTGAACGTTTCTGGTGGAAATGAAACTCAGACTATGGTATGGTAACACCAAAAGGAATGATTAAACATTCACAAACAGCTACTTGTGTGGTGGCAAGATGTTGAGGTGGACACGATCCTTTGGAGTATAAATAGGTTCACCCGCTCTGCAAAACTCTTCAGCAGCGTCTGCTAAAGCCATATGTATGCATCTTAAGGACTCAGCATTTACCACCATGTCAAGAACTCACACGTGCTCACCTCAAGACGAGGATGAGAATATTCACTGCAGCACTCTGGGGGAGGTGACAGCCAGAAACAATGCTAATGCCCATCAGCAGTCAACCATGGAATGTTCATCAGTGGAAAAGTGTACAAAGGGGAGAGTAAACCATACACAGCACTGGGCCACATCAGGGATGGGTGTCCCAAACACAAAGCAGAGAAAAGAAGCCAGACCCCAAAACAGACAGTACAGGAGTTCATATTCACAAAGTGCAAAAACAGACAAAACTAACACATAGGCTTGGAAATCCAGACATTTCTTATCTTTAGCCTTGGCTGCTTTTAGTGCCTGATGGAGGAACAGAGGCAGGAATTCGGTAGTTTTTATCCAGTTCTGTTTCTGGAGCTCGTGCGAGTTCCATGGTTATGAGCACTTCCTGAAATCCAGTCAGCTGTCGGCTGGCTTATGAGTGTGCACTCTTCCGTAGAACGTTGGACTTCCAGAAACCCTTCATGTGGCAAATAGAGACAAGCAAGTGACGGGAGCTTAGCTGGGTGTTCCTTCCTTTGATCTCAGAGCCATGAGTGGAAACGTCAACGGTGGCAAGTTACAGGGAGAAAGTATCGGGTAAACACCGGGGTCGCAAGGGAGCAGAAGTGGTGAGTGAGCGCCGAAGAATTTAACTCAGGGACTCTCTAAGGAGGCCTCAGATGGCGCCTTGCTCACATGGCCAAGATACACATGCTTGTGCACCTTAAGGACTCAGCCTTGGTGGTTGGCCAAAGCTGTTGGGCGAGCCCACCAGTGAAGGTAATCACAGTAGTTGTGGGACCCTGCTTGCGGTGGAGCACCCTGTCCGTGCTGGGGCGTAGGTTGGCATTAAGGGTGCATCGAGGTTTATATGTTGGGCCAGGAGCTGGGAACACCTGGCCGAGGGTCCCAGGCGGGAGCTCGTCCTAGAGGGGCCACACCGAGTCTCAGAAAATCAGGTGAGGGCCACATGGACGGGGCACTCCACTTCAGGGTCTGTGTGATCCTGTGAGACATGAGCAAAACATTTCTTTGGCCTCTGTTCTCTTTCTAGAGCCCTGAGATTCTTAGGACAAATAATGAACAGGACATTTCATCTGTGCAGCCATGTGCCAAGGCACCTTGATACTATTTAGAGACAGCCAGAGGCAGAGATGAGATGGCCGTGTAGACAGAAAACCATCTCCAGGAGAAGTTGTCCATGGAGGAAACAGACCCTCTGGTGGCCTTTCTTGGGCGTTCTTTATCCGTGAAAATTCTAGGCAACGTAGTCACATCTGGGGATGTATAACACTAGTTACTGGGTGAACTGTGCTTTGTTGTTTGCAAGCAGAAAACCTGAAATCAATGATTTTCATGTCTACTTTTTAAGGTTTGAACAGTCGGGAGCTACTTGTTTACAAGAACTGTACGAGCAACTGCACGTTTGTGTATCCAAGCGAAGTGCCTGATGAAGCCCCAAGAGTCTTAAGAACTAACAGCTTCTATTTCGTCCGTTGTTGTGGTGCAATGACTTGCAATGAAGGAGGGCCCACTAATATGGAGAGGGAGATCACACAGGACCAGACTATTGAGGATGAGTTAGAAGGAACTGTATGCTTGGGGGAGTCAACACTTTCCCTGAGCATTGCCTCCATCCTGGTCAGCCATACACTGACATGAGAAGCCCTCTGGGAGGGTCTGATCTCTTCCCTCATTCCTCAGAGCAAGTTCACTCTCCTTTCCTCCCTTGTGAGCCAGGGATACTGACCCACAGGGCCCCAGATGGACCAGTTACCCTTTCCCAGCTTATTTCAAGAGAGAAATAAAGAACATTATTGCTTGGGTACTGCTTACCTAGAGATGTGTTTGTGGTTTTAGCATTTGATCTGTTTCTTCGTCTTTAGACATCATCTTGCAAATAGACCAAAACATCTTGTTGCTTTAGCATGCAGAGATGGAGTATTTTTTTAAGTTTATTTTTCAGAGACAGAGAAACAGATAGAACATGCATGGGAACATGAGCAGGAGAGGGGCAGAGAGAGGGAGACAGAGCCCCATGCTGGGCTCAAACTCAGGAACCATGAGATCACTACCTGAGCCTAAGTCAGACGCACAACCGCTCAACCAACTGAGCCACTCAGATACCCCAAGACACTAAGTATTTTAAATAAGGCAAAACAGTTACAGGGGAGAGTGTATGAGTTTGCTCAAAGAGAGGTCCCAGCTATGCTCGGACCACAGGCACCCGAGGCCACCTGAGACTCTGTGCTTTAGTTCTAAGGCGGGGATGATGGAAGCTGAGAGGGAGCTGGGCAAGAGGTGGCACGTGGATATCAAAGCCTGACGTTAGAGACTGTGCCCGGTGCCCTGTGTGGGCCAATCAGACAAGTTGTGCACGGGCTGTAGTCCTCCCTCAAAGTTGGGCCTATCCTCCCACCAGGGCTAGAAGGTCTCCCAGGTGCTGACATTTGAGCAGGGGGAGAGGCTGGGAGTCTGCTGGTGACCAACTTGAAATGGCATGGAGACTTCTGTGCTGAGGTTGTCATTCTTGCACATGTGGTGGTTTCAGAAAAGAGGTGTGAGGGGAATAGAAAAGTGTCACCTTCTTTACCCTCATCCTTACTTCTCCTTTATCAAACCAGAGCTTCAATTAGATAAAACAACCATAACATAACATCCAAGATTCCAGTGTTTTTACTAGATTCACAATATTGAGGTGTCACTACTATTTTTTTTTAAATTTTTTTCAACGTTTATTTATTTTGGGGACAGAGAGAGACAGAGCATGAACGGGGGAGGGGCATAGAGAGAGGGAGACACAGAATCGGAAACAGGCTCCAGGCTCTGAGCCATCAGCCCAGAGCCTGACGCGGGGCTCGAACTCACGGACCGCGAGATCGTGACCTGGCTGAAGTCGGACGCTGAACCGACTGCGCCACCCAGGCGCCCCGAGGTGTCACTACTATTTAATTACAGAACATTTTATAGCCCAAAGAGAAACGGGCTTCCGCCGACAGCCAGGAAGCGTAGGACCTCTCTTGCAAAGTAGGCAGTTATTTCTGCAGGAAAGTGAAA